TGCCCTCCCTGGTTGACTGAATTGACATTAATTTCACTTTGGATTAGTTTAATCGTTAATATAGGTATAACTTTGGATCCTGTTTGATATTTATAGATCCACCACATCCTTCTTTGTATATATGGATCTAGAAGATTTATCTGTTGCAATCACTTACACTTTGCCTAGCTTTGGGGCATGTTTTAAACCCTTATCATCTTTCAAAAGTGAACATACATTTATGTGAAGTTTCTGATTTTACCCGCATCTGCTTGATGTGATTTTTAACAAGCACTATAAATGTCGTTTTATTTTTTTAAAGGAACTTTATTAATAGAAATCAGCTGTTGGGCTAACGTTCTTGTTCTCTGGCAGAACTGTTTCTGGAACCAAACTGGTCTACAGTAGAACTCTGGGGAAGGCTTTTGGAGAAATGTTAGATTATAAAGCTCCAAGGGAAGTTTTGTTTCTGGCAGGGAGCAGATTTACTTATAATGCTTTCACTTCTTCCAAATGTTCTTATTTTGCATAGCTACAAGGCAGTCATTGGAAATCAATATTCTCCACCTTCCCCAACGAGGAGCCCTCCAGATGTGTTGGGCAGAAATCTCTGAGCACCTTCAGCCAACCAGCATGATGGTCAGTCCAATCTGGAGGCCACTAGGAGATTGGGGAAAGTTACAATACCCTCAACTTTGCCAAAGTTAGCTATAACTATATCTTTACAGCAACAACTTGTTTATTTCAAGTTAATTGTCCTTGTTCAATAGGACTAAGATCCCATCCAGGTAATTGTCCTAACACACTCACTTGCTCTGTTTGGAAAATAAAATTGCTGTCCTGGTGGGAGAGTGTTTGAAATTCTGAGACAATAACATGGAATTGGGGCCATGGATCCTGATTAGTCCCAAACTTCCATTGGAGAGAGAGCAAACAATTCAGTTTGTTCTTTACCACTTTCTCCAGAATGCTCTCTCTCTCTCTTGTCTCCATTTCCTTTGGTCTTTTTCCTCTCTCTAACTAACGAATACACTCCAAAACAAAGCTCTGGGCTGCAGCCACCTACCCACCCACCAGTTTTATTTTCTAAGAATACCTCTTGACTGTATGTGGAGTCCAGAGACCTTCTTGGAAATAAAGGTGACTTTTCAGGTTGGCACAGGCCTTTGCATCTGAGGAAAATAATGCAAAACATAAGATCTGAGGGGAAAGGGGTAATGGCAGCCATTAATGAATATGTTACGTTCCCTGGAAGGCATTTGTGGGAGACCTTTCCTGCACCTTGAATTTCCATGTCTTGCTATGTCTTACTCTTCAAAAATCCCCCACCCCACCGCCAATCTGTTCACCTTTCTAGAACAGGATAGGGGGGATGTGATGGCTCAGTGGCTAAGACGCTGAGCTTGTCGATCAGGAAGGTCGGTAGTGTGGCAGTTCGAATACCTAGCGCTGCGTAATGGAGTGAGTTCCCGTTACTTGTCCCAGCTTCTGCCAACCTAGCATTTCGGAAGCATGTAAAAATGCAAGTAGAAAAATAGGGACCACCTTTGGTGGGAAGGTAACAGCTTTCCGTGCGCCTTCGGCGTTTAGTCATGCTGGCCACATGACCATGGTGAGGTCTTTGGAGAGCCCTGGATCTTCAGCTTTGAAACGGAGATGAGCACCGCCCCTTAGAGTCGGGAATGACTAGCACATATGTGCAAGGGAAACCTTTACCTTACATGCACCATTCCTTCATTTTTTAAAATCCCAGATCTTTTTAAATGCACACAAAGTGCCTGGTCAGCTAGCCCAAGGATACACATATGGACTCCATAGGGAACAACAGGCAGATAGTCCTTGACTTATGACACAATGGACCCCAATATTTCTGTTGCTAAGCAAGACATTTGTTAACCGAGTTTTGCCCCATTTTGCGGCTTGTCTTGCCACAGTTGTTAAGTGAATCACTACAATAGATAAGTTAGTAACCTGGTTGTTAAGTGACTCTGGTTTCCTCATTGACTTTGCTTGTTAGAGGGTCATATGTCTCTGGGTCATAAATGAGCTAGTTGCCAAGCGTCCGAATTTTGATCACATGATCACGAGGATTCTGCAAAGTATGTAACTGCGAAAAATGTGTTCTGACCTAGGCTTCCCCAGTAGCACGAAGCTGAGTCCTCATCCCAATAAACCCTTTAAATTTAATTTACAGTGAATTCCTCTCCAGCAAAGTGTTTCCTCTCCCACAGTCTTTATAGCAATAGCAGTAGACTTATATACCGCTTCATAGGCCTTCAGGCCTCTCTAAGCGGTTTACAGAG